TGGATGGATGGGTTGGTGGGTGGGTGGGTGCGTGGGTGGATGGATAAGTTGATAAGTGGATAGATAGATGGATGAGTGAATGAGTGGATGAATGGGAGGGGAGATGGATGGATGGATGGATGGATGAGTGGGTAGATAAATGGTTGGATGGGTGGATGGATGGATAGATGGGTGGGTAGATGGATGGGTGGATAGACAGACGGGTGGACGGTTGGATGTTAACAGCGGGGTAAGAGTTAAGGGGCTTTGGAAACAGACAGGCCTTGATTTGAATCCTGGATCCGGCCCTGTCTACAGTGGGAGGAGGGAATGGCGTGTCACATTTCTGAGCCAAGGATTCTCTGGGAGGCCTCTGGGGGTTGTTGTGATGATTAAATGATGCATGTAAAGTGCTGAGCCCAGCAGTGCTGAGCCTAGTATGTAGTAAGTGCTAAGAACCTGGAGCTGTTATCATCTTCATCGACCAGAAAGGAAAGGGGAAGCGTGTTTGTTGGGGAAGGACGTAATGGAGGCCTGCAGGTGGCTGTCCTGCTACCATTTCCCTCTCTTCCTAGAAACTGAATCCTGGATTTCCTTTGGGAAGTTTTGTGGTTTGAGTAGCTTATGCCAGTCAGCATATTCCATTCTCTCAGGTCCCTGTGATTGGCTCCAGGATGTGTATGAGACTTAAGTTGGTCCAATCAGACTAAGCCTCAGAATATTCGCTGGGAGGGCTGGGGCACAGGCTCTTTCTTCCTCACACTGGATACAACAAGGCCTGTGGGCCAGAAGCTCCTGGCAGTTACGCTGGGAGTCCCAGCCTACCGATGAAGCTGAGGCACACAAGGAAAGTGGAGAGACAGTGAGAAACATTTTTGAGCTGCTGGGTTGAGCCTCACCTGAAGTTGGTGATCCCTGAACTTTACAGTGATATGAGGCAATTAATTTCCTCTATATTTAAAGCCAATCTAAGCCAGATTTTCTGATATTGGCCATCAAAAGTATCCTAGCTGGTAGGGAAAGGACATAAGAAAGAGGCCAAATGAGTGGAATGTCTAAGGAAGACAAGTCAACAACTGTTGGGTGATACCAAGTTGGGAAAAGCTTTGGGTGCCGGAACTTCAGCTACTATCTTCCACTTGACAGATAAAGAAACTGAGGCCAGACAGGTTAGTTAAGTGTGGAGCTGGAGTGGACACCAAAGCCTTCTGACTCCTGACTCAGCGCTCTTTCCCGCCTACCACACAGCCACTATAACCAGGGAGAAACATACCCCATCCGAGGGCCACAAATCCCTGGAGGCACTTCCTCTCAGAGAAGAAGGAGATAACCAGGAGTGCGTGGAGGTAGAGGCCTTCCACCAGCAGCCAGGTGTAGTTGGCCACGATGCAGTACTGGAAGAAGACCATGACCAGCTTGCAGCCCACCTGGACAGAGAGAAGCAGGTAAGCTCCAGCCTGGGCAACTGTGGCTTTCCCTCTGGTGACTGCACCCAAAGGAAGCGACAAGGTGTGGTAGCAGGCAGGGGACAGGCCACACAGAGAGCCTCAGGGGGGAGTCCACAGGCCAGCAGGCTTGGTCAAGAAGGTCAATGAGCCGTTGGAGGAGCAGGAACTGGGTTCAAATCCTGGAACTGGCTGCCAAGTAGGGATGAGGAAGACACTCCTTCAAAGGCAGAACTGTGTCAGATACTGCCCAACCCCCTCATTCTTTGGATAAGGAAGTTGGGGCCAAAGTGGGGAGGGGACTTCTGAGCAAAGGGTTAACAAAACCCTTTCTGAGCTCGGTTTCCCTGGAAACAGATGAAGAATGGGTGTGCCAGCTGTGTTAGGAGGCAACATTGCTTCTGGTAAACATGGCCCCTGACTGGTAAATTGCATCTGGACTGGAGAACTAGAAATACCTGGTGTCATAACTCTGGACTCTCCTAATGCAGTGACACTTGAAACAGGCATGTCCCTTGCAGAAATCCCTGGAAGCTACATCTAGAGATTGTGGCAGACGATCGCGGTTCCTGTGGGGCACGAGGCTTCTAAGCGAGCGTGGCTCCCTCCCCCACCCTCTGTGGGTACCTCCCTGACGCTGAGCTTCAATGGCGAGAGGGGAGCTCTGGGCACGCCCATGAAGAGGAGGCTGCTGTTGTCCGCGGGCCAGGGGGCTCCTGTCCTCGAGCCCCTGGGGACTCTGATTCCAGGTGTGACTCGTGGCCGGGGCCAGCTTGTGAGTCTGAATGTTTAGTTGAATCTAGCAGGCTCCACGGTGGACACTGCTGGACTTGTCCACAGCTGGTCAACGAAGGGGTGGGGCCAGAATTTAAATCTCCTGACTCCTGGTCTGACACTCTTTCACCCTAGAGGACTCTAGGAGGGGCATGGGCCCTACCCTAAGGGACTTCTTAGTCTGAGTGAAAAATAACACACACACACACACACACACACACACACACACACACACACACACAGACAAACTATAGACAATACAAAACTCACTAGATCTGTGAGGAATTACAGATGTGAGTGGTGTGAAGTGATGGGCACTCTAGGTTGGCTGCACCAACCTCAGTTTCCAGTCCCTTCTCCCTACCACAGTAAAAACCCTCAGTCTCCTCATTTCCTTTGCGGTTAAGTGTGATCACATAACAGAGTTCTAGTCAATGAAACGTAGTGGGAGTCCCTGGGGAGGGTGTTCCTTCTTAAATGAAAAGGCAAAGCCTTCCAAAGAGGAAAAAATATTTGGCTTTTGCTCTTTCTTCTCTTTCTTGCCTGGAACACAGACGTGAGGCCTGGAGTCACAGCAGCCGTTTTGCAACCACGTGGTGGTGTAAAGTATGAGCTCAAAGGCCTACACTAAGGATGGCATATCAGAAAGATGGAAAAAGACTGTCTTTCGTGGCATCATGGAGCCACTATGCCACCTCTGGATTCTCCCTCTCTAAAGTATTTATCATGGGAAACAAGCCCATATGTTTAAGCCACTGATGTACATATAGTTTTGTGTTATTTGCAGCAAAAGGGGTTCCCAGTTGACACGTGGATGATGATAAACTAAGAGTCATCTGAGCATTTGGAAGGAGAAAGACTGTTAGATTTAATAACATACAATTATTTTATTGCAGACACACATACACAGACATATCAGCACATGATCATCTTTCTCTTTCCACAACCAAGCCCAACCCTCTCTAGACCTACAGCCGGGACCTGGCAGGAGTAGGGAAAGGGGGAGCCTTGCTTGCGTAACTAATTCCCAGAGTGTCTAATCCACTCTTGGAAACGAGGAGTTGAGAGACAGACCCCACAGGCTTCCCGACAAACTGGTCTCATAAGTGACCCAGATGGTACGTGGGGCCTTGGGAATCTCCCTCAGCCTCCAGGCCCAGTCCCAGCACTGGCCCCTTTACCCGAGGCGCCAACTACAGCCTCCGTAGGGACTTGGGGGAAGGAGAATTGGCCACAACCCTCTCCAAAGTTAGGCTGGGGAAGGCAGGTAGGCCTGGCTGTGCTCTGGAGCCGCCAGGTACGTTACCCTGGGAGCATCACAGTGGGCGGCGTCATCCGAGAAGAGCACAGCGTCCTTGATGAAGTTGGAGAGCGCACGCAGGATGAAGGACACGAACAGGTGCATGTGGATGTAGTTGCGGGTGCAATGGAGCCTCCTGGAGGGGACAGAATAAGGGGCCGCAGGGCTCAGGGCCAGGAGGGCCAGGGTCTCACCAGGCGCGCCCCTGCCCCAGTGCACCAGGGAAAGTGAGCCTCTGGACACGGCTCTCCCCAGATCGTAGGTCTCTCTGTTAGCAGAACCTGAACAAGAACCCAGACCCCCAGGTGCCCAGTCTCCCCTGTCTCATGCTATAATTAAAAAAGAAAAGCTGGGAGTTTAAAAACGGAGAGTGGTGATGTTTGCACCACTTGAACGTGATTAATGTCACTGAATTATACACGTAAAAAATGTTGAAAGGGCAAGTGTTTTGTTGTATATATATTTTACCGTGATAATGAGAACAAAAGCAAAAGCTGGGGCCTGGGGGCGATGTTGCATCCTGCCCCGACCGCCACCACGCCCGCGCCCCCAGGGTTTAGTACAGGAGGAGGCTGGCGGCAAGAACGGGAGGGACCACGTGGCACAGAAAGAACTCGGGCTGCGGGAAGAAATCAGACCCAGGCTGGGCCGCTTTTTAGCTCTATGACCTTGGGCAAACCTCTTAACCTCTCCGAGCCTCGGTATTCCCCCCTCGGCTGTAGGGGAGAGAAGTCTGTTACTTGTTCGCCTTCTGATAACAGAACCAGGCTTTCTTAGGGGAACCCACTCCAGCTCTCAATGCGGATACCTCTACCCATTCTCACGGTCGTGGCAGACCCGACCAATCAGAACGCTCTAGCCTCTGGCCGCAGTGATTGGCTCAGGGTTGGGCATGTGACCAAGCTGGGCCTATGAGGAGCGCCCCCAGGACTTCCACCGGAACTAACCGGCTGTGGGTTCCTTTGGCGCTTGGTGTTGCGCAGCGGCTGGAATGACCGGTCACAGCTGCTGCTGGTTGTCTCTGCCCGCCCTAAAGAAAGCCGACCTGAGGTGAGGTCAGTGCAGAGCTGCGAAATGGAGCAGGCTGACCTAGTTCTGCTGACACCTTTTTTTAAAAAAAAATTTATTGTATTTGTGTTGTTGTTGAGGATATACACAGCAGAACATACACCCAGTCAGCAGTTTCTACATGTGCAGTTCAGTGACACTGATTACTTTCTTTGAGTTGTGCAACCATTCTCACCCTCCTTTTCCGAGTTGTTCCTCCCCCATTAACATAAACTCACTGCCCCTTAAGGTTCCTATCGAACCTTTGGAGTCGCTGTTGTCCATTTGATCCCGTACAGTTTTTAAAATAGCACAACGCCCAAGGCAGACATTGTTTGCTAGTTAAGCTAACCTCCTGTTGATTTTAAGAAGACTTCAGGGAATATTTCTGGTTTAAGGTTTAAAGATTATCCCAGGGAAATAGTTTCAGGGGTTCATCCAATCTCCATGGCTCCAGAAAACCTGGATTCCCTAGGACTTTGAAAATTCTGTTCTACACTTTCCCCCTTTTGATCAGGGTTCATCTATAGAATCTTTGCTCAAAATGTTCAGTAGTGGTAGCTGGGCACTATCCAGTTCTTCTTTCTCATGGCAAAGGAGGCAGTTGTTCATGGAGGCAATTAGTCCCACGTTCCATTTCCTCCTGCTGTTCCTGACTCTCCTGCCTCCTCTGTTACTGCAGGCTAATATAGACCAATTGCTGTGCCTTGGATGGTTGTTTGCAAGCTTTTAAGGCCCCAGGCACCACACAGTGAACTAGGAGGTGGAACAGAAGCACTAAACATGTTATTAGGCCAATTAACTGGGATGTCCCATGAAACCTTAACCCTAAACCTCCAGACCAAGGAACCAAATCCCATGAACTGGTTGTGCATAAGCAGCCTCAGCAGCCATCTTCTTCTTTTGTTTTTTGGTCACTGTTGCAAATTCTGCTGATAACTTTGAGCCCCTAGATCCAGCCATGGTTGAAGCCAGTTGTCCCTGGCTTGTCAAATACATGGGTGAGGCCACTGCGGGATGGAAAACGGGCAGTGTATTCTCACCGGAAAGCACAGAGGATGCTGAGGGCGACCAGGAGCATCACGAGGGAGGAGCTGTAGCCCACAGTGTACATGACCTTCAGCTTCAGCAGGTATGCGTGCTGCAAAGAGAAGCAGGTGTCAGCCCCACCCACCCACCTGGCTGGCTCAGAACCCACCTGCTTCAGGCAGCTGGAACCCCGCCCACCCTGACAGTTACTCTGTTCATACCCAAGGACACCAATGTACAAGTCCTAACATCTTGGCTTTGGAAAATATCCTGGGAATCATCTGATGCTAATTCAAACTTCCACCACATGTATATGGTCCCCTTCCAACACCCTGAATTCAGCCTGTACTTGCATACCTCCCGGGATGAGATGCTCACTGTCTTTTGAGGAAGCAATTCAGTGTATGATATTAGATATTTTTTCTCCTGTGAAGCTAAACTCTTATTATGTTTTATATTGCAACTTTGATCTTTTTTTTTTTTGGCCTTCTGGAGCCCCTTAAAGTAAACTGAATCTATCTTGGACTTTTCATTTTAGATCATTTTCAATTTACAGAAAAGTTACAAAGATAGCACAGAGAGAGCTGTCATTTTTTAATACAGCTATCTAGCTCTCACTTTACTTCTCAGCATTAAACATTCCGTCTCTTTCATCTCCTTCAACATCCTTCACCATTTAGCTCAGTTAACCACTTGTTGATATGCTCCAGCTTGTCAATGCCCTTCTTAAATGAAACACCCAGAACTGAATAGGTGAAGAGCTCCAGATGCATTCTCTGACCAGGAACAAGTAGAGTAGAGCCATCACCTCCCCTGATATACACACTGTGCTCCTATTAATGCAACCCAAGTAGGCATTCATTTGTTCAGCAGCCACTTCACACTGTTGACTCATCTTTAATTCAAAACCATTTCAACAGACTCTGCAATAACGGGAAATAAGCGATAAATTCAAATGCCTGCATTTAGGTTCAGAAAATAAATCGCATAACCATCCAAGAAGAATCAAGGAAAGGAAAATTAAAACAATACTACTATACCAACAGTTAACAAATATTTAAAACTAATAATATTCTATGTAGATGAGGCTGTCGTGGGAGTGAAAATTGGCTTCATCTTTCTGGAAATAGGGCAATACATATCCAGAATCTTTGGAATATGCATTCTCTTTGACCTCCCTTCCACCTCCAAAAATTAATCCTAAGCAATAATCAGAAATATAAAAGCATACTTATATATAAAGATGTTTATCACAGAACTATTTGTGATTTAAAAAACAACTTCCAAATGTCCAACAGTAAAAGAGTTAATGAAATTATTTGAAGTCCAGATGGTTTTAATGAAATGCCGCCAATAAACGGATGCTTACCGAGAGTTTTAAAAGATGTCAGGACATGCTGATAACGTAATGTTAAGTGAAAAGGCAGAATACAAGCAGCGTGAGCCCAGCTATTTGTTAAAAAAAAGTATTAGGTCGAACTATATGAAATTGCTCTTTTTTTTGTAGCTCAGAAGTGATTGAATACCAGCAATTTCATGTCATTCAATCTCATACTTGCAAAGAAACAAGATTGTAAGAAATATATTAGATGTTAATAATGGTGAACTTTGGATTATAGGTTGGTAGATGGCTGTTCTTTTCTCTTGTATTTCTTCTATACGTCTATAGTCTGTGGTGCTATTTTAAGTGCTATTTTATAATCAGAAAAAAAGGTAATTGATTAAAAACAAAAAGCGCAAGAATAATATAGGAGAAATCTGGCTGACAGCTATTCATATGACAAAGACCTTGAGGTTGGAATGGCCCAGGCTCCGTGGTGTCAGGGCTGTGTACTGTAGGGAAAGAGTACAGGCTTCAGAGCCTGGAGACAAGGGTTCTAAACCAGGACCGTTACTCACCAGCTGTGTGACCTTGGGCAAATTAGTTAACTTCTCTGAGCCTCAGATTCCTCATCTGCAAAATGGGGATAATAATATCTAGCTTGCAGGCTTGTTGGAAGCACAAAGAAGGTAGGTATTGGGTAAAGTTTCTAGACACCATCGCATGTTAATTTCTCTCCCATCCCATCACCCCCCACTCCCCACCAGTCAGGGCTGTAAGACGGTATGAAGCATGAGGCAGCTGCTAAAAAAATTAGCTCCACTCTTGGTTACATCTATGGAGTGCTGCGGAGATGGGCTGGTCATGTTTGGAGTGTTTTGTCTAGTTCTCGGTGTATTATTTTACAAGGCATTTCCTGAGGAGGGTGATTATATCATCTGCTGAGTTCATGAAAAAACTGGGTACATTGTATCTGGAGAATTAAAAACACAGCAAAGCAAACAAACTCAGGGGATAAAAGTACTAGAAGGATCGGCTGGTAGAAGGATAAGCCCTACTCTGTGAACTCCGGGGGGAGTTACCAGGACACAGATTTTGGCTCAGGGTGACTTATGGATTGAACTGTGTCCTCCCAAAACATCTGTTGGAATCCTAACCGCTGCTGTACTTGTGGATGTGATCCCATTTGGGAATTAAGGTTTTCTTTGTTATGTTAATGAGACCATTATCAGCGCTGGGTGAGTCCCAAACCTAACCGTTTTTGAGATACAAAAAGCAGGTTAGGTCCAGAGAGAAGCAGGTACAAAGAGGAAAGACAGATGGCACGTGGAGATCGCCAAGCCCTGCTGGGGATGCTGGAAAAACTGAGACAAGGATGTTCCCCCACAGTGGACAGAGAGCCTTCCCCTCGAGCCCGTGCCCTGAGCTGTGAGACAATAAACTTCTGTTTGTTAAAGCCATCCACTCTGTTACAGCAGCACTGAGAAACTAAGACAGTGACCCCAAATCTTCTGACAGTGAGAGGTGAGCTTCGACAAAATGGCTGCCGTGACCAGGCGCTCCCCTGCTGATGTAACTGCTTGCCCAGAAGCCAGGAGCCACTTCTCAGGGATGAGGAGGAAGAGGCCCAAAGGACAGTGGTTCCATTAGATTAATGGTTCCGAGACTTTGGGACTTGATAGGCCAGTGGAATGTCAAAAAATTGGGGGACCAAGATTATTGGGGTCAACCCATAATCTTGCCATGTGCAGGATGAACCCCAGTGCTGGAGGGCTTGTCAGCCTCACGCAGCTCCGGGGTGCATTTGGACCAGTCTGTGGTAGGCTGAGGAGGCACGGTGAGAAGCGTGAGTGTTCAGGTGGAAGGTTCCATCTGTCCTGTCCCTGTTGTGTTCATTGTCTGCCCGGTGATCCTCAGCCCATCCCTCATGAAGACTGGCTGCTGCCTTTTGTCTGGGAGATCTGACTCAGAAACAGCCTTGCTGCCAGGAGCCCGATGTGACCCTTAATCCCTCAGCCTTCAACATCTGTAACTGTGTACCAGCCCCAGGGCACTGGGGTCCAGAACCTTCCCTGCTGCCTGTCCTGTCTCTCTATTGTGTACAGGCTGTGACACTTTCTTCCTGTGCCCGCTAGATCAAGGGTCAACAAACCCTTTCCGTAAAGGGACAGATAGTAAATATTTTTAGCTTTGCAGGCCATAGGTCTGTGTTGCCATGACTCACCTCTGCCCTTGTGTGAAAATAGCCGTAGACAATGTCGTTGTTAGCTATTGTTGAGTTGTCCCAATTCCTGGCAACTCCATGCCCAACAGAACAAAATTCTGCCAGGCCCTGGGCCACCCTCATGATCGGTTGTGGATTAGACCATTGTGATCTATGGGGTTTTCACTGGCTAATTTCTGGAAGCAGATTGCCAGGCCTTTCTTCCTAGTCTGTCATAGTCTGGAAGCACCTCTGAAAACTGTTCAGCATCACAGTAACATGCAAGCCTCCACTGACAGGCGGGTGGTGGCTTGGCCGGGAATTGAACCCGGGTTTCCCTCGTGGAAAGTGAGAATTCCACCACTCAACCACCACGGGGCCCCTGCTATAGACCGCATGTAAATAATGGGTGTGGCCGTGTCCCAATAAAACTGGGCGTATTTATTTGTTTTTTAATAATTTATCATATTTTTGTTGTTGTTGAGAATATTCACAACAGAACATACACCAATTCAACAGTTTCTACGTGTTCGATTCAGTGACGCTGATTACATTCTTCAAGTTCTACAATCATTCTCACTCCCCTTTTCCTAGTTGTTCCTTCCCCGCTAACATAAACTCACTGCCCCTTAACCAATAAAACTTTATTTATAAAAGCAGGCAGTGGGATGGACTCAGCCCGAGGGCCATAATTTGCCAGCACCCTGTCTAGATAAGCAAACCCCATTTTATTTACCCAGGTGGAAACTCTGCCTGGCCTTTCTGTCGGTCTGAGTCCGTTACTGGTGTTCGTCAATAATATAGCGCTTATGTCCAAGCAGGGAAGTTTAAAAAAGAAGAAGAAAAGAAGACCAGCGAATGTGTGTCTTCACCATCATTTGACAAAAGAAGAGACATTTTAACGATAAGAAGTAGGATGATTCAAATCTCAGACACAGGACAAAGTTTGCATCAGTTTGTGGACCAGCGTTTTGAGACCGGGGTCTTGAAACCCTTCCAATTGTAGGAATTTTGGCGTTTTTTTTTTTTTTTTTTTTCAATATGAACTGAAGCCAAGCGAGGTCTCTTTCCCACTATTTTGGACAATTAATTTTCTGCATCAAATCCAGATCGTTCCATTTCCTTTTGTAAAGGATCAGCTCCTTGGCTTAGGATTTTATAGTTTCAGCCCGTCATGAACATGGACCCCTGGGCTCTGTCCTGTTCGGCTGAACAGTCTAAGCTAGTGACTCTCGATGTGGGGTTCTCATTGTGTTGACCCCGAAAGTTTAGGAGGTCCTCGATAGTTCTTAGGAGTGTGAAGGAGTCTAAGCCAATCATGCATCCCACCTCTCCGCCCATGACGGGTTCCGGGGTGGGCAGGCCTAGGTCACTTTGGGCAGTGAGATGTGAGGATGCGCTTGCTGGAGGTTCTGGTAAAGAAGCTCTCTTGTTGTAGGAACCTCTTGTTGTAGGAACGAGCCATAGGGAAGCCAGGTTGTCCCTGCCCCGGGACAGGCAAGAACGGGGAAATCGGGGCTCAGATCACCAATGCAGTCACCTTACAACACGAGAGAGCTGGTCTTAGGGAGACGCCACCAGCAAGGACAGATGGAAAGAACCAGGTCCTTGGGGGCTTTGTGGTGCCGCTTCGCCAGACAGTCCTGAAACTTGTTCTCTGCTTTCCCAGTGATGTGAGCCACGCTTCCTTATTCCGCCAGTTGGAAATTGCTGTTATTTGCAGCCAAAGCATTTTTTGCGTCTTGATCCTGCCACCCATCCAAAGAACATTCCCTCTTAATTTTGTAGATTTTACAAATTTGATAAACATAAGCTCCATGTCTTCATATGAGTCAGGGATGGAAATGATAACCTGCAGAGGGCAGAACTTCCGAGACAATAAAACCCATCGACTCTGACTCACAGCGACCCTATAGGACAGAGTAGAACTGCCCCTACGGGTTTCCAGGGAACGGCTGATAGATTCAAACTGCTGACCTTTTGGGTAGCAGCTGAGCTCTTAACCATTGTGCCACCAGGGCTCCTCCAAGACAATATGTGCCCCTAATCAATACTTGCTGGGACTTATTATTAAATCACAGCATCTGACCAGATCTCAAGAGCGCATTGTATTTTCCCAACGGACAAGAAACCCCGGGAGGGAAGAAACACCATTGTCTGCTTAGTCCGGGCTCACTCTGTTTCGCACTGAGCAAGACCAAGTGACCAAGCACAGAGAGAGGGGTCTCAGAAGTGGGTGTGGCCCGCCCCCCAACGTCATCCTTTCTGTCTTAATTCTGCCTGTCTCTCCCCATGCTTCTCGAGCGTGCTCCCGTCCCACCCTCCCAGAAGCTTGTCCACCTGTATTCCCGGTGGAGTTTAGCGAATGGCACTGCTGGCAGCGTACCTCCTGGGGGTACACGCACCTCAACGGGGAGGCGAGAGAAGATAGAGGACTTGGTTTGAATCCTGCCTCTGCCACTTGATGAGGATTTCCTTAACCCCTGTGAGCCTCAGCTTCCTCATTTGCAAAATGGAGAAAACAGTGAGCTCACACGTTTGAGGATTTGATCGAACGAGCACTAAGCAGCTGGCCCGTGTAGATGTCTAGTACGACAACAAACATTCATTGTATGTGCCAGGCACTGTGCTAGGCACGGGGCCATGGGAATGAATAGGACTCCTTCTGATCCCTCACTGCTACATCCGTGGCTACACCGAAGCCTGGCCCATGGTGGGTGCTCAGTAGATGCTGGCTGAGTGAATGAGTGTCTCCACGGAGCTCCTAGTTCAGCGAGACAGAAGGTGGCCGAAGCTGGCCGTTTAATATAACATGGATGGTATAATCTACAAGAAAATCCAACACCTCTACAACAAAAAGACAAA